GTTGGCGTCGTTTTGTGACTAAAGAGAACGCCATCGCGAAAGGAATCACGGCACGATGCGTTGAAACGAGATCCTTAGCCAATAATGTAGTCACGTTGAAGCAACTGGGCAGCGACAGAACTTGCGGCCATTATCTTTTCTGCGGCTCCAAACCTAGCTCGACATGGAATGTCTACATGGCGATGAGATGGCGTTGGGAAGGGAAAGGGTAACGGATCATTGGCATAAGAGGCATGAGAAAATGCGGAGATGTCAAGAGAAGAGATTGGCCGTCACTGTTGCATCACAGTTCCCCTTTGGGCCCTGATAGCCAGACCAGGTGCAGATTCAGAAGGAGCAGCTGTGGCGTGCCTTTCTTTCCCGATGCGGAGTCCTGCAGGCAGGGCAGGAAACTACGATGCCTCATACATGCCGCCGACGGAAGTACACAGGAAATCAGATTGGGAACAACAGCTCATGTTCTTTCCTAAACAACTGCTGTGCTTGCTCGCTGTTTAAATCTTTGTTACTCCAAAACATTGAAGAAGACGAGACATGTTCTTGGCGCGACCTGTTTCAGTGGAGAAATCAATTGCTGGCGTAAAAGTTAAGCAATTGGGAGGATGGGGCTAATGCAACAGGACCGACCCAGCAGTGAGGGGAAACGAGGGCAAAAAGCCAGCGGTGATCTTTGGGTCAGGCGGTGTGACCTGTTTGAGGCCCTTGAAAAGACCTTTCGTTAGAAGCAATACAGCGCAGCAAAGTGTCTCGCAAGCAAAAGAGGAGCAATGTTGCTGGTGGAACAGCAGAGCTGACGGCAGCTGCGAGCGACCGAGCCGTCCAATGAAGGTAACGACGAGGGCTCTTTCCCAAAGTTTCATGCAGTTCAAAGTGCCCCATTGGGATACGACAAGGCGGCCGTCACAAGGCAGGAACACCTTACCAATGACCCTGTGCCTTCCATCTTGCCGTTGCGCATGCCAATGACCGGTGAAGTTCGGGTCATAGAGATGCGCGCTGTTAAGACCATCACGTATTCGGGCAAAGCCATATGTCTTTTGTTACGATTTTTTGCGTCCCCGCCAAAAGAAAAAGACCAAGAGGCATGCTCGGATTTCAGTCCACCGGACTGTGGCTTGGTCGATTGTGCCTGAGAAGGCACTTTGGTGTTTGACCAGAGTCAGGCCAGCAGACCCCAACGGCTCAGTGGCTGTGACAAGGGTAGATGAGTATGTGGAGCCCTGCGAGAAGGAGCAGCAACACGCTTGTGGCAGGCGCAAAGCAGGCGCATTTAGCTTTTGCATCTCGAAGTGAACATCAACAATACGGAGTACTGTGGGTGGCAAAGCAGCGGAGACATTGCTGCACAATGCTTTGGTGAAGCGTTTACTCGTCCTAAAGTCCAATACGCCGTCTGCTCGCGATTCACAGCAACTTTACGTCAGATCCCAAACCACTCCATCCCGCATATCCCTGGCGCGCGCTGCGCCCCGTTAGGCTTCCCGCTAGTTAGTATGGAGGCTATTGGCGCGCCATGCTGGTCCCAGTTTGCAGACCATGAGGCTGGCCCTGTGTCGTCCATCACATCGCTCACCATTACGACCGAATGTTGAGGTGTAATGTAAGGACAATCTCTGGGAAACTGGCAGGAGCGATTAGGAGCCATGGCGTATGAGACGAGAAAGAGAAAGCAAACAGGAAGGAGCAAGCTAAACGGAAAACCGAAAATGGGGGCACTACAGCAGCCATTTGGATCGTCTGTTGGGCCCCTTGCGCGCCTTCCGTTCGTCGCCTAAATCATCTGCGACAGCCATGATTCGCCTTGTTTGCGACCAACAGCCTCGTCGTTTCCACGACCTGCCAAGGCACCACAAAGCAGTCATTACGGAGTCGCATATTTTCAACCTTTGCTCTCCGCCGTACGATCTTTGTAAGATTACTTTGGGGAAGTGCGGCGAGGCTAGCAAGTGCTGCTCCCCCGTCCGCCACAGTTGGTCTTTCTAGATTCGGAAAGCGGGCAGGTCGCCAAGAACAGCAGGAGCAAGTCCCGTCGAGCCTTCTCTCACGGTTGAGCCTCTATTGTGCGCGTGCCCCTCATTGTCTTTCCTTTAAATACCACCCCTCACCAACCTTGCATCCTTGTGTCACCGTTTCTTGAGGAGAGCATCGTGACGATACTTGCACCTCCCCAATACCAGCCACATCTTCGTCACCTCTCCTCACCCACTGCGTCCCACAGCAAACAGTTACCAGTTTTGAGGCAGCCATTCTACCCGCAATCGCCCAACCACAGAGCTTCCCCCGCCAGCTTAGCCTACTCGACTCAGCGCCAGCGAAACACCGAACTGAGCGCACAAGGAACACTCGACTCACCTTCGTGACAGCACGAAACATGTCCAACAACAACGGCCGCGACGGCGTCCGCAAGTCGTTCTTCGGCTCGCTCAAAAACAGCCTCAGGAAAGGCACAAGCTCAAATGGCGACGGCTCCGTGAGCCCCGTCTCGCCTGGCGGCGCGTCCGCGTCTTCACCAATACCACCTGCCAACCGTGGACTCAGTGCATCGCAGACCCCGTCTTCCCGCAGTCGCCCGGGCTTCCCAGAGCCAACGAGACGTCCCTGTACGTGTCTCATTCCGCGGCGTCCTAGACTGCTTTCCCTCTCCCCATTTCTAACACTGTTCTAGCCAACGAACCTCCTCCGCCGTACTCGGCGATATCGGAGCTACCTGGAAGTACCCCTGCGGCCGCACCAGCTGCTTCTGCTCCGGCAACTGCACCTACTGCTGCTCCCGCTCCTCCGGCGATCGGCTTCTCCATCCGCCCTGCCTCACCCACTCCCTCCCAGCGCTCCTCGGCGTCCGCCCGCCCAACCATCGACAACGTCCGTTCCGCCGAAGACCCCTACGCCTTCCTGTCCATGTTCGACACCATCTTTGTCATTGATGACTCCGGCTCCATGGCAGGGCGCCCATGGCGCGAGGTCCAGGCCGTTCTGGCCAACATCACGCCGATATGCACGCAGCACGACGCCGACGGCATCGACATTTACTTCTTAAATCACAAGAACACGCCGGCTGCACAAGGTGGCGGCGGCCAGCAGGCCCGCGTCCCCCCGGGCAAAGCGGTCGGCGGCTACCACAACGTGACGGATGCCGCCGCCGTGTCGCGCATCTTCCAGACCGTCAAGCCGGGCGGCGCCACCCCCACGGGCACGCGCCTACACAACATCTTCCAGCCCTACCTGCGCTATTACGAGGCCAAGCGGAACGAGATGGAGCAGCGCGGCGAGTACGGGGATCCAGACCCCGACGACATCAAGCCCGTCAATATGATTGTCATTACGGACGGCGTGCCCACCGACGACCTGGACACTGTCCTCGTGCGCGCCGCCAAGAAGCTCGACAGCTTTGACGCGCCCCCCTTCCAGGTTGGCGTGCAGTTCTTCCAGGTCGGCACCGAGGCCGAAGCTGCCGCCTACTTGCGACACCTCGACGACAACCTGGGCAACGACGTGGCCGGCGGCATCCGTGACATGGTCGACACAGTCACCTGGGACGCGTTTGTGAGCATGAACCACGGCAGCACAACGGGTGGCAGTGGCCCAAGCACCGCTCTCGGCCTCACGGCCGACGGTATCCTCAAAGCCGTGCTGGGCGCCGTTGTCAAGCGCCTCGACCGCCGGCCAACAGGTCCCTCTGCTCCACCAGCAAATGACCCCAGTACCCACCGTTATCTCACACCACAACGTTAACCGCTGAACTACTGTTGTCTTCTTTTCTTTTCAGGACATTCAGATTTTCTTTCACAACTCTGTTTTATTAGATACCCGCTTTCATTTTGTTGTTGACGGTACAAACGCTGTCACTCTTTCCGTTTCGTGGTGCATTTAATTCATGTCATATTAAATACAATTATCGGACATTAGTGCTCCTTGCTCCAAAAAAGTTTAAAGTGGTACGGTAGGCTGGGGGCTTATTTGGCATGAGTGGTCGGTTGTTAATTATTTTTACGAGTTCAATTCATGAATTTTCGGCGTTGAGTATTTGCTGGATTTGTTTTCATCCGAACCAATTTTGTACCATTTATGTTTTTCCGAATAAGGCAATTCTCAAATCGTCGTCTCGAAAACACCAGATGAAAACATTTGGGGGGATGAATGAGTATTTTCATTTCTGTAACATTATGTTCAGGATATCAAGTCTGTAATAGTTATTATATCGTCACTTGGTCGCAATTGAGGCCATATATTCCCCACAGCGCCTACAAGCAGATGTTGTGCGCAAGTAACCGTGCCCCTTAATAAAAGACGATGGCCCAAGCCCGTAACTCCTTCCACAGATTGTAGGTGAGAAAGGGAAAAAATAAGAAACGTAAACTTGGAAAATTAGAAAACAGACAGAACAGGACGGGTGGTCCAGAGCCAGTACCTCGATTTCTTGTGATAACCATCACCTTCTTAACGATAAGCCGACTGGAAGGAAATCAATCTCATGAAAAGGGCTGGAATTACATGATATAGGGGAAAGGTACATGACTCAAAGGTAAAGGGTATTGAATGGGCATAATGACCAAGCAAATAAACTTGAGAAAGAATAAAGGTAAACGAGAAGCCTGAAGACAATAAGAAAAAAAGACGCAGGCGAGCGAGATGATAACCTAAATAAGGCTTTGAATATAGCGAGACCGTGACCCAGGATCGAAAGCAAGCGCATGGCCGAAGATGGCGGGAAAAAAAAGAAGTCCCGGGGCCATACATAAACAACGCGGGTCATTAGATGTGAAGCTGAATTAAGTCGACTAGTAAAGTAGGAAAGCGAAGGGCGATAGTAACGGTAAGGCGACTGAATGGGCGGGCCTCCGTGGCACGGGCAGAGTGAATCAAAATATAAAGTCGGATCTTGGAAAAGGGCGTCAGTGAAAAAAAAAATAAAGGAAAACAGAAAGAACCATAGCGACAAACTTGAGAGAAAATGTAAACAAGGCGACCCCAATAGTATTGACTGGGAGAAACCTCGCAAGTTACTGCATGAGAAGGACATTGGCCTTGGCCAAGAAGCGCGGGTCCACACTGACACCGGCGTCGTTGCGGTACGTGATACCAGGCGTCACAACACACATCACGCGCCAGTGGTGGGCCTGCAGTTCGCGTGCTGGGATGCTCGAGTTCAGAGGCCGGTGAGACTGGTCGCTGAACTTGATACCGCATTCGTTGAAGATGAACTGGAACGAGAGGGGGGAGGTGAAGAGTTTGGTGGACAGCTCCACACCCTCCTCACAAATGATATGAAGCTCGTGGTCTGCGCTGTCACGATCCACCTTCTCCAAATCCAGCATCGGTCCAAGGATATCCTTTGTGCGGGACATTGCATAGGTCACCTTCTGTGCCTGGAACTTGCTCCAGCTGGGTCTGTTGATGAAATCGCTGATGGCACGCGAGCGCTTATCGACGAGTGCGTGGCGCTCATGAGGCTGTAAGGCAGCGTCTGTAGCAAAATGAAAGATGTCAGTCCGGCTTCTTGGCATACATGTACAGCATCACAGTGGGAGTGTGTCTTACCGTATCCATACTTGAAGTCAAGCCTGTGCTTGACACTGATTAGCAAATCTGTCAGCTGTTCATCCATGCCCTCCCACGCTTGTGAGTTCCACATCTGCTGGGCGAAAAATTGGATGACAAGTCGTGAGATGAAGAAACTGCGATACGGCTTGTTGAGAAGCATGTAAAGCGCGTGGCTTGAGGCGTTGTGTCTGTTATTGGGGTATGTAACAGTGCAAGCATAGTCCCAAAGACGCGGGTGTTGACGGCTCATGTTGTGCATCGCGCTCTCATTGACAACGCTGCAGTACTTGTCCACCCAATCCTTGATCGAGTTGTAGAAATGAAACATATCATAGACTCGCACTGCATCCAGGCCCCCAGAAGGGTGCACAACACCTGCCGCGAATTTTCCATTGCGCTCCTGGTCATTTCGCACAATTGCCAGTTCCTTGGATAGCGGGGCCGGTGTTTGACCGCGTGTCGAGTTCGCCATCGTAGCCCGCGGTCCCGATGAGCGTCCGTTTTTGGTAAGAAATGGAGGTGGACCAGAACCAACAGCTGGCTCGCTCTTGTTGGGAGGACATGTGCCATTCTCGGCAGACGAAAACGACGAGGCCGCTCTCTTATGAGCATGGCCATTGTTGCCAGGTCCAAAGAATTGTTGCGTTTGCGGAAACGGGGGTTGGGGAGGTGCTTTGAAGGGCCCATTATTCCCTGGCCCAGGGGTTTGCGTGAATCGACGGACTGGCCCACCATTGACAAAATCAGGAGTGCTCTTTCCCGAGCTGCTTGCATATCCACTGGGAGGCCGCGAGATCATCACAGCACCGCCTCTTTTGGCAAAGAATTTTGACTGTTTTCGAGGCCCTCGGCTGGCAATATGAGGCGTGTTCGATCTGAGCTGTTGGTTCTGGTTAGGTGCAGTGGGGTGCTCTTGCTCAGCCGACGAGAAGCTATTGTTGATGTAGCCTGGCGGTCCTCCGATGATGCGCCTAGGAGAAAATGGCATGTCTTCAACTTTGTTAGGTAGGTGCGGCAAATTTTCGTTCGAGAAATTGTCAAGATACTCTATCTGCCCAGGCCCGTTTCCATTCGGCGGAAGAAATTCAGTCACAGCCCAGCTATCGCGGCTTCTGGCTGATCCGGTCGTTGCCTGTATTAAGTGCATGCATTAGTCGTTTTCTTTACAGTCGAAAAATAATAAGACAAGTCGGGGTCGTGTGCGCATCAATGTGCGGCTTACCTGATTATCGTTATTTCCTGTTCGGTACTCTTGCATCTCATTCGTCAGCTCATTTAGGCGGCCACGGAGAAACTTGACTTCCTGTTCTGCAGCATCGCGCTCAGAAGCTCTGACATCACGTTCGTTCAGAGCGGACGAAAGAGAGCCCTGTAGCTGGGCACGCTCCGTATTGACGGCCTGCTCCAATCTGGCGCTGGCCTGTTGTGCTGCGATAAAGCACTGTGCAATTCTCCGAAGTTCATCAAACCATCCCTCGCGGATGGTAGAGGTTAGTCCAACTTGGTTGTTCGTCGCTTGTTGAAGTCGCATAATACGGCCTTGAGCCGACTGACACGCAGCCCGGATGTCCTATCAAGAGGTACCATTAGCAGACGTTAACAAGATCACAAGCCAAGCACTAAGCTTTATGTGAGAGAGTAGTAATATACGGCGACATAGCTTCTCACATTGAAAGACCCCGGCATTGAAAAGACCACAGAAGACGTCTGTGGGGGCGTAGGGAACTGGGAAAGTGAATTGTGGTGGTTGCCTGTATTAGGCTCGTTGTTTGGATGAAAGCCAAGCCGCATATCTGAAGTGAAATAAAGGCCGGCTTCAGACGACCAGTCTGGCGGAGGGGAACGCATGCTATACCATGTGTCAACTGAGCACGCCTTTTTGCGTGAAAAATGTAGGTTTGACAACTCACAAACAAAATTGCGTTGAAAAACTGAATAGATCTTGGATAAAATGGTTCAAGAAGGTAAATTGCCTGTAAGTTCCAGCCCACAATGTCAGTTGCCGTGCGCAGTTCATGTCTCAAGAAACGAGCGGTGAAGACATACCGGTCGTGAAAAAAAATCCAGTTGCGATAGAGGTTCAAGTGAATTGTTTCACTTCATATAGTAGAAGCGTGCAGTGAAATAGCGAATGACTGAAGCAAATAAGGGCAGCACAATTCGACAGTGAGGTGCGCGTGAAGAAGCTGCGAATAGAAAAGGGCGAGAGGCGACTAAGTTTCGATGAGGCGAAGATCTCAGCAAATGCACTGGGCCGTACCACTCCTCGCTCCGAGGAGCCAAAAACTTGAAGAAACGTCCGTCTAACCTGGACGAAGCGAAACGAGCGTCAAGAGAAGCAATCTAGATCCAGTGAAAAGATTCAAGCCAAATGCAGGTGGAAAAGTAAAGTGTAAGAAGAGTGAAAACGTACGAGAAGTAAAGGGGCAAGCTTCCAAGTAAGGTAAACGAATGTGTCGAAGCTCCTACCACACAAGTATCTGCTTCTTGTAGGATGACGGATGAGGACGAAAAAGAAGCCAGAACGCCCAAAAATAAAGGAAAGAGAAAGGGAGGAGAGGGTGACGGTAAGAAGAAAAATAATTTGGGAGGGGTAGACTTAAGTACCCACGCACCAAAATATTGGCCAAAAAAAAAAAAATAACGAGCACCACGCGGGGGAAGGGTGTCAAAAGAGAGTGCCGTCTGGTGGCGTGTCGCTTAACTTGGCTCAAAAAGTTCTAGTACAGAATCGAGCCGCGTCTTGTGAAACGTCGGAAGCCTGGTGGAAGCTCTTGTTTATGTGATTCCAACAGTCATCTGAGCAGGGCAGTTAATGGCAGGATGTTGCCATCACTTCTCTCTGCTCTCCTGCTCGGAATTTGGCTCGCCATATGACTGGTAATACTGGCCTTTTTCCGAAAATCGATATTGATATCGCCCAGGCAGCATCTCGGCCAGCTCCTCGGATGTTGCTCTGTGTGATGAAGTTGAGGCGAATCGATGCGAAGCGCAATACAATGACAGCGAAAAGAGAGGGTCGCCAGAAATATTATACGCCAGAAAGACCACAGAAGAAATGCAATTGTTTGAGACAGAGGAAAAGAATCAACTGGGAATGAGAGCTGGCCATCGGCCGTCTGGCCGTGGCGCGTCCGCGAATGGTAAAGGGGGCTTCGTTACAAGAACCTTACCTATGGACTAAAGGTGATCTTGATGGAAAGGCGAGAAAAGAGTCAGCATTTTCTGAGAATATATCCCCAGATAAAGGAGGCAAATTTTGGTTCCTCAGGGCGAGTGCCTACCAAATGAGGGGCGCAAGTGGTGGGTGGCGCCTCCCTTTTTTGTCGACATTGGAAAGTAAACAAAAAAGGCAAGAGTGATGGACTTACACAAAGAGAAGGAGCGACTAGCCTCGCCCCACTCTTTTGGCCGTTTGACAACGTCAGGTACTCCAACCATGACCACAAATACATCTGTACACCTGCACACTGATCCAACGAAAACAAGATGTACGAAATGATTTTATTGAACTTGAAGTATTTCTGAGTGAAAATATGATACGCGAGACAAAGCTTAGACAATGGGATTAAAAACATAAATCACCTGCAGTAGCTATAGAACAAGGGAGCGTTGGGTCATGCGCTGTGCATCCGACGACTGGAGACTTTTGTATCCGGCATCTGAAAACCAATCCACGCGAGTCGTAGCAAAAGCGAAAGCAGACAAGCAAACCGATAAGCAGGTTTTGGGGGAGGCTGCCAGAAGCAAATGCAAAGAGCGCCGTAACCAGGGCCGGCGGGCTTGCAAGGGCAAAGCATGCCATCTGTGAGAAGAAAGTGAGATGAAAAATGCCGTCAATGTGACGAACTGGAAATTTCTCAAAATAAAAAGAAGGGCGAAATAATTTGACGTGGATAAAAATTGACTTGCAGGCGTAAATGCAAACCAGCCGAGCTGTCTGTAGAGACAATGCGACGGAAGATATCGGGATTTTCGAAAAGGTACTCGATCTTATTGAGGAAAGCACCAGTCCGCTGTGAAAATTCTGGAAAAAAAAAGAAATGTGAAGTTTGAGAAATGGCCGCCGCATAACAAAGAATACAAACTACCGAAAGATTATTGGAAGGAAGAAAATTAACGAAGGCCGTTATTGAGAGCGCGAAGCGTCTCTAGAGAAGGATCGAAACTAGATAAAGGCCGTTGTATCAAAAAACCTGGGTTGCTGCTCAAAATTGATAGCGCTGCTGAGACAGACGAAGGAGAATCAAAGTCGTTGAAGAGAGAGGATGCCCAAGTGCTAACCTCGCAGCAGTGGCACGAGGAAGAAAAGACCTGTACAATCCGAGTGAGAAGCTGCCCTCAGATAAAGGTTGAGGAGTGCAAACCGGTCTGGAAGCATTGAACAGCCTCGGTTGTGCCGAGATGAGTACCCTTTACGGCGGTAGGGGGGGTAGCGGATATACGGAGATCGAAACGAGAGAAAAAAAGACAAGGTTAGCTTCCGTTCAACTCCAGGCGACGATGGTTTACATCGCCTTGGACCGCGAAAACAAACTGCTGTAGACGGCATCAACAACGGGCGCGGCAGTGATCATACGACCGCCAAAGTAACGGCCGTTGAGACCCTTGATGGCGTTCTCACCGCCCTGCACCTTGTCGAACTTGAGGTAGATGTCGCCGTTGGAGTTCTGGTCGAGGGCCACGTGCAGGACGTGACCGTATTTGTCTTCGGCCTCTTGGCGGACGTCGTCCTCCAGCTCCTTGACCCAATCGTCGCCCTCCTCCTCGGCGGCGTCAAACATGTTGTGCAAGACCACGCAGCGGCTGGCCAGGTTCACGTTGACGCCGACCGGGAGCGGCTTCGGGTCGTTGCGGGGCTTCATAATCGGGCGCTGCTGCTCGACGGCGTCGCTGCCACCGTTCGCAGTGTTGTAGCCGTTGTGGCCGGCACCGTTGGTGGCAGGCGACGACGACGAGGTTCCAACGTCATCGGTCCTAGCGAGTTTTCTCATGAGAGCATCTCGGCTGTAACTATTGAAGTTGACGCCAGCAACATCCGTATCATCCAGTGCACCAGCACCACTACCTTTGTCGCTGTCGCGGGCGCCCGCGCGGTCGAAATTGCCGGAGGCGCCACCATTGCCACGGCGGTCCGCGTCGCGGCCGTTGCCGTTGTGTGCTTGGTCGCGGCCCTGGAATCGCTGCATCAGATGAGCAGTAGACTCGGGGGTAAACTTATCGTTTCCGAGGCCGACACGAATCGGACGTCCTGCCAAATCAAAGCCGTTCATCTTCTCGAGCGCCTCACGCGCCTGGTTGCTATCGCGGAATCTGCCAGCGGTTAGTATGGAGTACAGAGACATACAAATATAACAGGAGGGGGGGAATGGGGGTAAGGGAAGATGGGGAGAACATACTGGACAAAGCCGTAACCACGGCTGCGGCCGGACTCGTCTTTCTGCAGCTGAACAAACTCGAGCTCGCCAAACGGCTCGAAGACATTGCGCAAGTCGGACTCGGTAATGCTAAAGTGGATGTTGCCGACGTAGAGCCGGTGAAAGGGCACGCCCGTGGCGTTCCCGCCGGTCGGAGTTTCTGCGGTGTTACGTACTTGCCGGTTCTTCTCGGCCTCCGTGACCTGGACAATAACAGGGATACCTAGCAGTTTCTGGCCTGTGAGCTGGAGCGCCGCAGCAATCGTGTCTTCACTCTTAAATTCAACATAGCCGACACTAAATTGTTAGCAGGGAATACATCACAAAAAAAAAAAAAGAGACAAAATGGGAAAGGAGACATACCCCTTTGAGCGGTTGCTCACGCGATCTTTGACAATCTGAGCCTCGGCAACAGGGCCTGCCTTTTCGAAAAACTCCTTAAGCTCGCGTGTCCGCAGACGGGCCGCCAGCTGTTGCACGAAAACAGTCCGTCGATCGCGCTCACCGACGGCCGGTGGCGATGCAGAGCGGCCGCCGCCACCACGACGCGACTCCCGCGACCGATCGCGTCCGTACCGGTCAACACGGTCGCGGGAACGGTCACGGGGCGAACGGCCACTCAATCGGTCATCGCGATCGCGCCTAGAGTCGCGTGGCCGGTAGTATCTGTTGGGAGAACGCGACCGCGAACGGTCACCGCCACCGCCATGGCCGCGGTTGCGACGGCGCCGCCGAGGGCTCCGGCTCCGGCGCCGGCTGCTGCGGTGGCTGCCCGCCTCGCTGCGGGCTGGTGTGCGTTCACGATCGTCGCTGTGGACGTAAGAGACATCGGCACCGGCACCTCCACTGGTGCCGTTGGCGCTGCCGCGTGGGCTCTGGCTGCGCGGCTCTCGCCGTCTGCGATCACGATCACGGTCAGCTCGATCGCGATCGGCACGTTCACGCTCACGTTCGCGGTCACTGCGTGGCGAGCGGGAGCGCGTACGGCTCAGGCTGCGGCTCCGGCTGCTGCGTCCGCTGTGATGACCGTTGGCCGTATGGGCGCCACCGTTGCGCGCGTCGTCGATGCGTGGGCTGCGTCCGCCGCTGCGGTCTTGGCCGTCGCCGTTCGCGGCAGCGTCGAGAAGGGCCTCTACATCTAGGTGAGCCATCGCTCTCGTATACTAAAACAAATCGTAGATAAGAGGTAACGTGCTGAGTGGTCGCTGGTATTGCTCACGTCGGAGAGGATGGATAGATTACAGAGAACGATTGAGGTTTGAAAGAGGAGACGCATAATAATTGCCGCTGGGCGGACAAGCCAAAGAATTGCGGTTAAAAAGTGGGGTTGGGGCGAATCTCATGTAAAATTTGCAAGTTAGTCATCAATTAACATTACCACGTGACGCTAAGTCGTTGGCATTCCATCAGAGCATCATGATCTACAGTCAAAATGCGAATACAACACAATTGTCTTGCGGGACATAATTTGGCTACTTTTATGGCTCAAAATATCACTAATATACACCGGACAGTGTCAAGAATTATTACAACAGGTATCTCCCAAATTAAGCCGTTCTCCAGGCTGCGTGCGTCGCAATGCTCGTTCCCGAGTCACTCTCGGTTTTTTTTGTTTGATAAATGGAACAGACAAAATGAAAAGACGTTCCAAAACTCCGCAAAATACAAATTTATAACCCCGTATCAAATTCGTGCCACCGTCTTGCTCGCAAGGTCGGCGTCTGTTGGAACATTGTGAGATCCGTCGTTGCATGCGCAACAACGGTGCTTTGAGGTGGGAGCCAGAAACGACCCGACGTCCTGCTTGACCGTCGAGAAAAATGCGGAGCCATTTACTGCGACTTGACGACCGGGGTCGGCATCTTCAACTCGGTGCCAAAGATGACGTCCCAGAAGCGGCTGGTCACGCCAAAGCCCAGCTCGTAGTCGAGGAAGTGGTGGGCAAGGTGGTACTTCTTGAGGTCCTTGTACCAGAGCGGAAGGTTCTGGTGGTGCAGGAAGTAGTGGGTGAGGTCGTAGCAGATGTAGCCAAAGACGCCGCCGCAGTAGGCAGTGGCAGCGACGTACCAGTCGTAGTAGAAGATGGCGTGGGCCAGCTTCCAGAACGGCGTGGCCAGAGCGACAAACAGGGTCGGCGGCATGACCAGGCGATACTTGTCCATGGGCAGGTAGTGGTGGATGCCATGGAGGACGAAGTGCAGCGTGATAAACACGCGGTTATCAGGAAGGTATCTTGCGAAAATACGTTAGCATGGCCATAGGGAATAGAGACCGTCAAGAAAAGCACAAAACTTACTCGTCCAGGTGGAACAGGAAGCGGTGCATGATGTACTCGATAAGCGACCAAACGGCAAAGCCGAAAACAAAGAAGCCAGCCTGGATAAAGGACGACGTGAAGCCCACATTGGCATAGTAGAGGAGCGCCGATACGCAGGGAATCCAGAGCGTCGGGATCACCCACCACGGCGTCATAGACAGTGGCTCGAGGAAGTTGCCAAACAGCGGCGCCGACGCACCGCCCTTGTAGTGCCGTGGGCGGTGGACCTGGTCGAGATAGAAGGCCTTGGAAAAGCCGCCGTTCCAGACCTGCATCAGCAGCGGGCGGTTGAGGTCCAAAAACTTGTGCGTCTTGAAATCGGAGACGGCGTCCGTGTCTTTGCTCAGGTCCTCCTCGCAAGACATGCCGGTGCGCGGGTGCACGCTCCGCTTCTCGACATCGGAATCGCTGGCATACTCGGCGCCCGTAGACTTGCCATTGCCGTTGGCGTCCTTCTTGCTCGAGCTCAGGTAGCCGACGATGGAATCGTCGAGCACCTCGTACGCGGTCTCGGAATGTGCGTGCGAGATCTCGTCCTTGAGGATGGCGGCGATGTCCTTGCCTGCGTAATCGAGGATCAGGTCGGCGCCGCCGGGGTGGGATTCGAGGAAGTCAGTTACGTCGTACACGGTCTCGCCGACGAGCACATAACACGAGTCTTGATTGTTGTGCTTCTCGACCTCAGCGGTCGTGAAGGTGGGAAGCGTGCGTGCAGGCATGGTCGAATGCGTTGTGGAAGGGGTTAATAAAGAGGCCAAGGCCGAGACTGGGGGCCGTGCGAGGCGATATATGAATCGTTCCAAGGACAAGAGGCGGTCCAATTGAAGAGCCAAGCGACGATACGAGGGGCGAAGCAATGCGAGCTGTCGAGATATCGCGAGAAATGAAAAAGCGACTCAAAGGAGCGGTGGGCGCGGGACAGGTGGCAAGGCGCTGGGAGAACGACGACAAAGTAAGATTACACCGTTGAGCAGAAAACGAATGACAACAGGAGACGACAGAGAACAGTAGAAATGAAAAAGGGTTCGTGATCGACGAAAAGGCGGATGTGCTCGGGATAGATGAACTGTTCAGAACAAGAACACTAGGCTCCAGGAATCTTGAAAAGGGGGTCTACATGCCGCAAATAGCCCTGTATTACAGGGCGATCGCCCCTGTCGTGTCGAATTTTTTAAACATTAAAATACAAAAATCTCAAATTTTCTGCCCAAATAGGCAACACCTCTGGTCCAGATAATACGGAGACGGAGTGCGTGGGTGGCGTGGTCGTGTCTAATCCGGTGGAGGAACCTGTCGCGACGCGACTGTCTCCCCAGAAGGCCTGGCCCCTGGAAGTTTACAGAAACAGCACAAGCCGATATCACCAAGCGCACATGACAGGTCGTAAGATTATGTGGTGCGGAAGGTGCGGATGCCGAGGAAGGAGCATGTGGCGTTACTTTCAGGGCGGAATGGCCCGACAAGGCCCTGTATGGTGTGAGTTTGGTGGCAGTTTGTACACCCAAACAAAGTTTTTATGGTGTCTACAGGGCACTTTTATCACAAAGTAAGATTAAACATAGTAGGTCAGCGCGTTAGACGGCACTTGCTCTAGCCATCAGTGGCGAAGAAAGCTCATACAAATACTACTGAAATTTGCACTGTATATATACTGTGCAGTCTGGCGTGACCGCAGTCAAAATGCCCCAGTATGCGCACGGCCTGTCGGATTAAGCGGCCCAGGATGTTAACGTTACCAGTGGAAGGGAGACCGCCGGAGCGGAATCAGATACTGGCAATCGGTGCCCCGGTGCTCTGAGAGAGCAAAGGCCGCAAGAACAACTAGTTTTCGGTGTCTGTTTTCTGCTGCTCTTTGCAGTAGATTTGAGGTCCCCCAGATTGGTTTTCTATGCTCAGCCCTCAAATCTCGGAATTACGGAGTACAGTGACGGAAAGCACAGTTGTGAGCCAACTCCAGCCGCCTGGCAACACCTATCAAACAGCAGCTTGGCTCAACCACCTTGACATCATCATACAAATGCCTCCCTAACTGGCGCCCCTAGGTGTGTAACCGTCGGCTTGCGCGCTGAACCTTCTGACACTAATATAATATACGTTTCTAGCAGAGGAAATCGTGGAAAGCCGTAAGGCACATTCTGTCTTGAGTCAAGCCGTTCTGCGGTCTTACAACCGTCTCATCACTAGCGATTTGTTTATCAATAAATGTAAGAGGTTAGGGAAACTTCATTATTAAACAAAAAGTAACATAACGCCCTTCTCGTGCTCTGCCATCCAAGCTGACTATGAAACCAAACTGAAAATAACAGCCAAAGGCCAAGACCCAAAACAAACCAAAACCAAAACCAGAAGCACCGCAGAATCAGAAAACAAATGTGCCTTCTGTCCCATGTTCCGTCGTCCATCGTAATCATACACCAATCCCGCTCACCACGCCCGCTGTAACCCGCCTACAAGAAACCCTTGGTCATACTCGGGGCCCGTGCGCGGCCAATACTGCTCTTGCGCTTAGGAATGTCCGGCGACAGTTCCGGGTCCGTTGCCGACGATGTCGTAGAGGGCGCGGACGAGACCACAGACAGTGCCGTGCGTGCAGTCGCCGTTGACGCCGTGTGACCCAAGACCGATGACCGGAACGTGTTCTGTGTGCCCGTCCGCCGCATGCTGCCACCAGCAATGCTGCCACCGCTCACACTGCTGCCGCTACCCAAGTTCTTCCAGCTGTCCAGCTCCCGCTCGAGACGCAGAGCCTTCTCCTTCTCCTCCCGTAGCTCGCGCTCGGCCCGCCGCGCCGTGAGCTGGATGCTCGACTCCGACGCCTGAAGCTCGTCAATCGTCTTCAGCAACTTATCGGCCTTGTCGCGCATCCGCGTCACGTCGTCCTGCAGCTGCCCATTCTGCTTCTCCTTGCGCTCTAGCTGGCCCTGCAGATCCTTGACAATCCGGTCCACGTTACGGACCGACCGGTTGGACTGCGCCTGCTCGTGCTCATGCGCCTCCAGCTGCGTTTCAAGCTGTACAATGTTAGTCCGGTGAACTAAATTTACATATGCGAGGGCATGATGTAGGTAGTCTTCTTACCTCTTGAACGCGCTTGTTCAAGAACTTAATGTCTTGGCTGGCGCTTGAGTAGCCCTTCGTCTCGAGGTCCACCAGCTTGACTTGCACCTCACTGAGCGTCTTCTCCAGCGATGTCTTCTGTTCTTGCAGCTTGGCGCTCGCCTCCCGCTCCGCTGTCATGTCCTTTTGCACCTCGGCAACAAGAGCTTCGGCACGGCGCATCTTCTCCACAGCAGCCGCAGCAATGTCCTCTTGCTGTGCAAGGCTGGACCGGAGATCCAACAGGACCTTGTCGGTGTTGGCCGCATCACGGAGAGACGGGCTGGCGCCGCGGGCGGCGAGCTCCTCCAGGCCGGTCTTGGCCTCCTCGAGACGCGCCTCGACGCTACGCTTCTCACGTACGAGCGAGTCGCGTTCCGAGGTGACCTCGTCGACGGCTGACCGCAGCGTGCGCACCTGGGAGAGCAGGTTGACAATGCGGCCTTGTGCTTCGTTGTGAGCCTGCACGGCCTCATCACGCGACGACACGACGTCCGACAGCGTCGTCTCCAGGCGCGTCTTCTCCTTGGCCCACGTCGAGCTGTTGAGCACTTCGTCGTCCCACTTGGACCGAAGCTCCTCCAGCTCGTCACGCAGGCGGCTGATCTCGGCCTGCTTGAACAGTTTCTCCTCACGCGCCAGATCGAGCTCCTTGGTGAGTGTCGCAAACTCGGCCTGGTACTTCTTGCGCGTCTGCTCCATGCTCGTCTCCGTGTCCTCAATGTCCATCGCACGCTGGCTGCGGTAGTCCTCGAGCTCGTGCTGCTGCCGCTTCTTCGCCTGCGTCACCGACTCGAGATCAGTCGACAGATCCTCGAGACGCTCCTCCAGGCGCTGGTTTTGCCGCTGCAGGTCCTCCACCATTGTGTCCATCTTCTTGCGCTGTGCCATAACCTCGGCGTAGGTCTCTTCGGCCTCGCGGGCCTGCGTCTTGGCGAACTGCTCGGCTCGTGTTGCCTTAAGAACGGCCATCTCAGCTTGCTCCAGCTTGCCAAAGTACTCGTCGGCACGGCCCTTGTACAGGTTGAGACTCGCCGTCACATCGACGAGTTTGGATGATTCGGCGTCGAGGCGGATCTGCAGATCCGCAAACTCCTGCAGCAACTGGTTGCGGCTCGCAGCCTCCTGCTCGCGGGCCTGGCCCATCTCCTGCAACTCCGACTTCGCATCGCGGAGGTCGACTTCCATCTGCGCACGGTCATGGCGCAGCTTGTCAAAGTGCTCCTTGATGTCAGTCAGCTCGGCAACGGCGTCCTTGTGGCTATGAAGTAGAGATCGGCGCGACTCTTCTTGGCTGTTAAGCAAGTCAAGGATCTCCTCGTACGACCGTGCCTGGATGTCGTGAAGTGAAAGCTCGCCGGTACGCAAAGCCTTCTCCAGTGCCGACACCTTCTTCGCAGAGTCGTCGAGCAGGTCGTGCAGCCGGCTGTTAGCTTTTTCAAGCTTCTCAACACGGCTGTTGTTGTTCTTCGAGCCATCGTTGGTGTTTTTGGCGCCGGCCGACTCAGCCCGCTCTAGCTGGCTCTGGAGGTGCCGATTCTGCATTTGGGCAAGCTGCAGCTGGTTCTGGAGCTCTTCCATTTCAGCCTTGAGATCCATGCGATTGTTGAAGCTAATAATCTCTGCAGTACGGTCCGAGCGTGCAGAGTCGGGCATGGCAGAGGACAGTTGTCGTGGTGGCGTCGACGCTGTGTTGTTCATCTGGCTATTGGAGATGCGACGAGTACCGCCCGCCTTGGTCTTCTTGGTGTGTGTCGGTGAACCGTTATTGAAGTACGGGGCCTCGTTGGGGCTGATCTCCTCGAGAAGGCCGCGCTGATGCACGGGAGACGACTGCTGCTGCGCGCGAAGGTCTGCCAGTTGAGCCTCGGCATTACTGCGGCCCGCTTGCTGCACACGAAGGTCCTGCTGCAGCTCCTCGATCTTGCGCGCCAAGTCGAAGAAGTCTTTGCTGGTAGGGAAACGCTCCTTCCCACCTTCGGGGGGCACATTCACAACGGGCGACGCAGGATCCACCGTTTTGAGGATGCACAACATCTGACCACGTAGATCTGCGAGCTCCCGGTCGCGCGCTTCAAGGGTTGCTTGAACCGTCCGAAGAGTGCCCTGGGCTTGGCCGCGCAACTGGCGCTCTGCCTCCATGGCCCGGTTGACCTCAGCGAGCTGCGACGTTGCGTTGGAGGACACCTTCTCCGCATTGCGGCTGCTTTTGACCTCGCGAGCAACTTCATGGTTCATGTCCTCCAGGTCCAAGTTCAGCTTCTCCACCTTCTTCTCGAGAGACGCGGACGTCATCTGCGACTCGCTGAGCTGCTTGTTCAGCTTATTATTAAGCTCCTCAAGGCGCGCCTTTTCACGCTGCAGAATCTGAATCTGGCCACGCGAGGCCTCACCTGCGCGGGACGTAGATCGGGCTATCTCCAGACCCTTCTGCTGAAGCTTGTTAAGCAGGGCCCGGTTGTCATTTTCGGATGCCGTCAAGCGGCTCTTGACAGTCTGAAGCTCTCGCTCCATCCGCTCCTTGGCCTGGTCGTTCTTCAGGCCGAACTCGCCTGACGATACAATGAGCTTGTTCAGTCTCTCCACTTCGGAGCTCAGGCGAGCGCGCTCGCCCTCGAACCAACGCAGACGCTCTTGGGCAGCATCCAGATCACGCAGGAGGCTCTCCTCACGCTCTCTGGCCATACGCAGGGCTTGGCGCTCGCCGGATGTTTCAGCCTCCATCCGAGCCTCCTCCGCCTCAGCCTTGGCGACACGAAGACGGCGGACTTCTTGGCGGGCGTCGTCGCGCTCCTTCTCAATGGCTTTGCGGGCTTCCATTGTCCGCCGCAGAGTGTCCTGTTGGGCATACAGCTCCTTCTCGATGATGATCTTGGACTCGTTAAGGTGGTCAAATTCTTCTTGCAGCTTCTGGTATTTGTGCTCGCTGAGGAGGAGAACGTCGTCGCGAGATTGGCGTTCACGGCTAAGATCCATCTGGATCTTATAAAGCTCCTCCTTGAGATCCTTGATCTGAGATTCCAGAACACGGCGGTTCTGGTCTGCCTGCGCATCCTCAGAGAGGCGTGCCTCAAGAAGCTTCTTGGCATCCTCAGCCTCGCGACGGAACTGCGACTCTTGGGAGCGCATTGCAACGATCTCAGCCTGTACTTCACGGAGGCGGGATGCGGCCTTCTCCTTTTCGGCAGCGAGCAAACGGCGGTGGTCTTCGAACGACCGGCGCTCCGCCTCGTACTTCTTGTTGTCGCTGCGCAGGAGGGCAAGCTCGCTTTCTTTTTGCCGCACGAGATCTTCGTAGTCTGTCGATGTCTGAGACAGCTGTGCTAACCGCTGCTGGGCGTCCTGGTTCTCCATGGCAAGTCGTTGTTCCTTGGACCGCGACGCCTGGAGTTCTTTCTGCGCCGCGGCGAGCTTCACAACGGCATCCTGGTCGACCGCAAGCAGGCGGCCCTCAAGATCATGCACTTTGCGATCCTTGATGGAAAGCTGGCTCTGGAGCATCTTGACTTCGTCAGCGAGAGCCATTTCCTGCTCACTGCGCTCAGACTGCTTTTGCGCCGCATCTTCCATGGTCTGCTCGAGGTCGGTGATTTGCTGTGCAAGCTCTTTCTTCTCTTCTTCAAGGCGCGCGATGATGCCAGCGGCCTGTTCGAGCTGCATGCGGTACTTCTCGACTTCGTCTCCAGCACGTTTCTTAGCATCCAGGAGATCGTCAAGCTGGTCCTCGAGGCGTTCCTGGTCATCGAGGGCGCCAGCAAGCTTATCCTCAAGCTCGGATTCGCGCTGTTGCAGGCGCTTAAAGATCTCCTCTTTGTCTAGAGCTAGGGCGCGCTCGCTTTCCAGCGTTTGCTGGATGCGGGCCATTTCCGCCAGAGTAGCACGGCGGTCGTCTTCCAGCTTCATGCGACCTGCCGCATGCTGTTGCATCTCGTCTTGGAGTTGGCGAATGGTCTCATCGCGACGCTTGATCTCGGTGGCCGTGCGGGTTGCACCCAACAGGGGCCGCATCTTGACCAGCAGTTGCCACCAGGGGTTATCGCAAAGGTCGAGGTAAGCATGGAAGTTGCGCTGGATAACGCGTGTCGCCTCGGCACGATAAAGACGCTTGTAGGCAATCCGGCGCTGGCTGAAGCCGCGTGCCACAGCCTGGAAGCGAGACATTATCTCGTTGATCAGAGCGTCACGCTGCTCTTCAAGCTCGGCCAAAACGCCAGAGCGGAAGAAGACTTTGGTGAGACCAATGCGGAAGAGAGCCTTATCCATACCAAGTTTGTCAAGGATCATGGCAGCCGCCGCCTGGCCCTCTAAGTAGGTGCCCTTTGGCATGTCACGGCAGAGAACTTCATACCGCTGGCGGAACTCGGCAAATGGAAGACGATTCGGGAAACCAGTTCGGGCAATACGAATACCCTCCAAAACACCATTGCAACGAAGCTGGTCCAGGACCAAGAGGTTGTTGAATTGCTTGGGACGCTTCTTGTGGTTCGGCAGAATACAGCGGACAAAGTGCGGGTGTGTTGAATGCAGCTGCGCCATGAGCTGCGCAAGCTGCTCCTTGTGTCTCTGGGCTACAGTGCGGAAAAGGCCCTTCTTGACTCGGCTGCTCCGACCGACGGCGGCAGCACTATGTTCATCGTCTTGGTCAGCGCAATCTGCAAACAGGCTGGCGACATGCTTGTCCGTGGAAGCGGCGAGAAGTCGGGTAATGTTGTCATTCAGCGGGTCCTTGTTCTTTTCCAGCCAGTTGTTGGTTGAGTATTCGACCTCAGCGGCGTAATGCGTCAGGATAAAGCCATTCCGCAGTCGTGATGGTCGGTACTTGGTCGACTTCTTCTCCCAGAGAGAGTTGAGCTTTTCGGTAAAGGACTTGTCTGTGGCCTTGGGCATGACACAGTCTTCGTCGAGGCACGAGAAAATACCAATCGGATTAGACAACTCAATGAGATCAATGGTCGGTTGCAGGTCGCGGCCAAAGTCAATGAATTGCCACTCAATCTGCTCCCGAGCGTACTCCTCCTGCTCGAGAACAAACATGTGGTGATTAAAGAACTGCTGCAGCTTCTCGTTGGTGTAGTTGATGCAAAGCTGTTCGAAGCTGTTCTCCTCAAAAATCTCGAAACCAGCAATATCGAGTACGCCGATGAAACGAGAGTCATCCATGCCCATCATGCCAGCGCGGTCGAGCTGACGGTTGATGCGTGTCACAAGATCACCGAATCCGCGTTCATAGATACCCTTTGCCAAGGCGTCGATGCTGAGGCGCACTTGATCAGGCGTCTGCACCTTTTCAACCCACTCACGGCCTGCCTTCACGCGGGGGTGTAGCAAGCCCTTGAGGAAAGGCTCAACAGGGACACCGAGAAGTCTGCAGAGACGCTCGGCGTGGACCTTGGCGTCCGGCGCCAAGCGTGCCTGATCGGCACCGCGGCTTTCGTTCATGACAGTGATGTTGCCGAGATGCAGCACAGCCGCTATTGTCCGAAGAACGGATGTCTGGTCCTGCTCTGAGAAGCCCATGATCGAGAAAGCCTCCATCAGAGACTCCCACTCGTCCTGGTCCGAGACACCGCTAATGACATCATTGCCTTCGCGAGTATAGGCAAAGTCCTCGACACCCATGCTGTCCAGCAACAACTCTTGCCGCAGGCGGCGATCAGCACCCTTGAGCAGCTGGTAGAAAATGTGGTAGTTCCGCTCCTGGCTGTTGATGCGGACGACGCGCGACTTTTCGAGCAAGTACCACTCAATGAAGGCGCCAGCTATGGAGCCATTGTTGTGGAACTCGATACGGATAAATTTTCCGAAGCGGGAAGAGTTGTTGTTGCGGACGGTCTGCGCGTTACCAAACGCTTCAAGGATCGGGTTCGCGCGTAGGATCTGAGCAGAGAGGTTGGAATGCTGTGAGCCCCGACTCTTGCCAGTCGGCGTGTCGCTGTGGGCCACGGCAGCCAAGTATTGAATGACCTTTTTGGTGTTTTCCGTCTTACCAGCGCCAGACTCGCCCGTGACGAGGATGCTCTGGTTCTCACCGTCGTCGACCAGGTTCCGAAATGCCTCATCAGCCATGGCGTAGATATGCGGCTTTGTGTCTTCCCGATTGCGGCCTTTGTACATGTTGATGTACTCATTCGAGTAGATCGGGAGCGGGCAGTAGGGGTTGACAGTGACCAAGAAGAGGCCCGAGTATGTGTAGATGAGGTCGGCTTGGTACCGCATGTGCAAGTTGTGCACGACAGAGGCCTCGTTGAGGTGCGTCAGCTCGGCCATGTCGTTCGCCTTATCGAATTTGGCGGGGTTCACTTTGTCGACGCTCTCCGCATCGATCTCGCGCTGCTATAAGTTGAACGCACAAGTTAGCATGCCGTACTCACTCTATACATGCCCGGTGATGGAAAACTCACGCTGCCATCCTCGCACTGCACGAGAATACGATTAGGTCCCAGCTCTTCAACGATCCAGCCCTTGACAAAGGCAGTTTGCGGGTCTTTCAGCCAGACATATCGCTTGCCTGAGAAGTCGTTCTCGCCCTCGATACCGCGGACGACGTCAATGCTGCGCTGCTTCATCTCCTCGGTCTTGATGAATGAAGGGGCAAAGGTGCCTGAGGCAGGGGTGCCCTCCCGGGAACGGTCGTAGCCATTCCGCGAGACACTCCCCGACCTAACAAGGCCGTTCATGCTAGACGGTGTTGCTTGTGACTGAGAGCGACTGTGTGATGGCCGTGCGGGGGATGTTGGTGCAGGCGTTGAGAAGAGAACTGATTTGGGCCGGCCGGCGGCGCTGCTGTTACCAGGCGCCGGCGAGGCTGACGGGGTGCGGGCAAAAGGGTTGCTACGCTGCTGCGCAGAAAACCCGGAAGGCACGGTCACCATTGCGGGCGACGTTGCGTTGTAGTAGGTGTTGGGGTGTGCTGACGGTCGGAATACGGGTCAGGGTTCCTCTGAGGGCAACATCCGCCAGCAGAACGTTGGAGGAAGTTGTCGAGGACGCTCGAAAGGTCGTCGGGAGTGTGTCGTCGTGCTGCAGTCGTGACACAATATGCTGCTAAAAATGCAGATAGAGAACAGAAGAATAGGAAGGAAAGCACAATGTCAACAATAACGCGAGGCACGGTCAACCATACAGTGACCGTAGACGTCGCGCCGTTGCAAGAAACAAGTGTAGCTAGGAAATATGAAGAATTAGTGATTGAAGAATTCAAGAATTAAAAAATCCAAAAGAAAGAGCCTCTCAGGCGTCGTGGTCAAGGCTCAATGGCATGCACACTTGCTCGTGTTTGGCGTTCCTTCCTTCTGAACTGTTTGGCCCGCGCTTTCCTGATTCTGCGGGACGGAGCCCAGCGAGACAGGCGCTTGTCCCACATCGGTTGCCACGACAACAACACAACAAAGCCAGATTAGGAAAGGCAGAAATGCAGGTGGGGTGAGTCTAACATGGGAGGCTCGACCAAACACGGAACGCTAGATAATCCGGCCGGTTCACTACAACAGCTCGCGTTCTAATTATATGCCGATCTTGGGCACTGTTTGGGGGGCGCGAGGAAATCGCTGGACAACACACGGTCTTCTAAATCACGACTTGCTCAGACATAGCGCACGGCACGACTCAACGCGCGTTCTGAGCCTCGATTTCGCAGTGTTTGGAATCGCACGCGCATTTGTACCCTTCATGTTCGCGGTGTCTCCGCCCTTATTGCTACATAGGTGGATTTTTGCTTAGGAAGGAACAACTCGTGTCGTTTTGGCTCCTTCCTGCCTTGACAAGCAGCCAGTCTCCAGCGACCAGCCAGGTTGTTGTCCCTGTCTGCAATTCATCTTAACAAAACTTCATTTTCTCCGCACCCACGTCATTCGGTAACAGCGCCCCATGCTTTCATTCAGAACCACAACAACGCATCGTAGACGGACAACGGTGACACACGATAAGACAGCTTCTTGATCGACCTCGCGCGAGCTCCATCAAGCTGAAATGGCGGGCTATCCCTATAGCCATGGCCAGTGGCCACCACAAGCGCCACCACCACCAGCCTCCCAAGGATCTCACCCGGTAGCTTTTCAACAGCAATATCCGCAGTACGACTACCGGCCATCGAGCAACCCTCCTCCGGCCATGTACAATGGCAACTCGTATCAAGTGCCTCCCCCCATACCTTCGCCAGGAGCTGTTAACCAGCAGCAGTCTCAGCAGAGCTACTATGGAGCTGTACAGGCCGCACAAGCTGCGTTTGACCAAAATACACAGGTTTCCGGCTTGGGCATCTCCGTAGCTTTGCCGGAAGAGCGCAGCCCAAATGCGGTGGGTGGCGACCTAAGCTGGAGCGAGGCATTTCCCACTTCGCAACCTACACCCTCTGCGCACCCACCATACAATCCGGGCCTTCCACAAGTACATACACAGCAGCACAACTACCACCAGCAGCGCCCACCACAGCCTGTACCGCCGCAGCAGATGCCGCCGCAGCATGCCTACTCGCCTGCAGGCTATGCTCCCCCACCAGCCGCATCGACAACAGACCTTGCATACAACCCAGAAGCCACCGTGGCTACGCGAGAAAGCGAGCCGGAGGAAGGCGAGCTCAGCGAAGACATGGAAGATCTATACGAACCCGAAGAGACGTCCGGGTCCACGGGCAATGGAGGTGCGAGAACTTCTCGCTCGGTTGTCTCTCAAGAGGCTAATGACGAGAGTTTTGCGCAAGTTGGTCTTGGCCACGCCGCCGCCGATTTGCCGAGCCGCGATGCTAGTGTTATTGATAGCCAAGAAGACGCCTTTTACGACGATGATGACGACAATGAGCCTGGTGAGATCAAATCTGGCGGCAACGGCGATGAATCCGACGCAGACGATGAAGACATGGGTTACTCCGATTCAGAACCGAAGTCTGCCGGGGCCACCGACCAAGAGCGTGCTGCTACGTACTCGCCGCGCCTTTCCCCTGGTGAGATTGAGGATAGCGACAATGCTGATACACGGCAAAGTTTGCAAAAGGACAGCTCCGGATCGGCTGGCCCAACTGTTGGTGCCGCTATTGTAACCTCAGATGGTACTGCAGTCGGAAACGAGACGGCGAGCGGTGTCACGACGAAAGTCGAAAAGGACGCGGCCATCGCTGCAAAAGAATTGATGCCCTCAAATAACCTAATTTTCACTACGATGGACGATGCCAAGAAGGAAGCACAGAGAGCCATTCTGCGACTAATCCCATACGGTGTCAATTACCAGACATATATCGATGAAGGATTCGATAGCAAACTGATTCAGTCCCTCTTTTCGGAGCTGGGTCTGAAAGCGGTCCCCACAGCGGTTTCAGCCTCACCGAGATCAGCCTCGCCATCGCAGTCTATTGAGCCGGCGGCATCCCAACCCGAACCAGGTGGTGACAAAACGGCGCCCAAGGAAGAACGAAAAGACCGCATTGCGCGTCTTCTCGCACTCCAGGCATCGAAGCCAACACCCGCACTAGTTCCGAAGCCCTCTGTTGCTGCCGCAGCTACAAAGCCCGACAAACCCAAGTCACAGAAGGAAATCATGCTACAACAAAAGCTCGAAGCTCTTAGGCAGGCACAAGAGAAGCGTGCAGCTGCCGCAACGACAGCTGCCGCAGAGGCGACAGCTCTCAGAAACACTGTGTCTGGACATCAGGGTGATGTTGCCGCCGCTATTGTGGGGCAAATTGCAGACAAGACGGCTGCCATTTCTGCTGCACTCCCTTCTTCTCCCGCCACGAGTTCCCGCCAACGTCCTGTGGCAGCTGACTTTGGTGGTTTTGCTTCCTCGGCGGTGCACAGCCTACCCACACGCCCACCTGCTCCTGTTCGGCAAGAATCGTCCATGATCATCGAAGTCAGCGATGATTCGGATGAAGATGTGGCCATGGAACTTGACTCACAGGCCGATGATTCGTACTCGAGACCAGGCCAATACAATGACCAACGTTCGGGCGGTGCTTCCTTGTACCGTGAGCAACAATACAACAACAATGTTGGCAAAAACGGGATTGGCCGCAAATCTCCGGCGGATCATTCTTATTCGTCTCCTCGAGGATATGCAGGACGTGCTCCGCCTATGATGCCGGCACCGCCGACCGCCCCTGCGAGTATGATAGCGCGGGCCAAGGACGACGAGTATACGAGAAAGATGCGGCAGATCGAAGAGATGAAGCGCAAGATAGCAGAGGCCGAGGCGAGAAAGTCGAAGATCTCGCCGGCAGGCTCTCTAACGCCACAGACTGGTGGCAACAGAACGCCATCTGATGGTGGCTCCAGCAGCAACCGCAATAACGAGAGCCCATACCCAGTTCTACGGCCTGCTCCACAACCACTTCGGCGGATAACGTCCAACGGCGAGCTGTGGAAGGACGAGAGCACCAGTAGCCCTATGGCGCCTATGGAGGAAGCTCCTATCCGTGTAGCGAAACGCACTGGCGGTCCCTCGCCGTCATCTTCTCAAGAAAGCCACCGAGAGAAGCGGGTGCGTGTGGCGAGTCTACAACTGCCTCGTGTCGAAGCCAGTCTCCAAGAAAAGATGTTTAAACTACGCCTTCTTCAGGAACGAGTTGCAGCCCTTCAAGCCGAGATCGATGAAGGCGTGGCTGAAAAGCGGCGGTTGACAGAGGACGCAGAGGACCTAGGCAGCGAGCAAGAAGAAGCTTCCACTGAGAACGAAGCGAGCGTTCAACCCCACCAATCACAGCCGCCGACAGACGAACCCATCAATGACGCTGGCAGGATGACGGATGTCGATCTCGCTTCACAACAGTTAGATGGCCTTGGACAGCAAGAGGAGGAAAAAGAGGGCGAGATAAAGGCAGATGATGCCCCATCCCACGGCACCCCGAGCGATGCCGAATCAAGTGTAGGGCTATCTGTTGCTCGGGCAGAAGCAGAAAACTCGCAGTCCAACGCTGCGTCTGAGTCGGATCCAGTTCAAATGTCAGATTCTGCCAACGCTAGCGATGAGGATGGCGACATCGAGATGCTGGACAATGCATCGGATGGGGAGGGCGAGCCGGATGAGGATGACGAAATAAAGGATGGCGGAGGTTCGGCTTCCGACAGCGCTATTGATGATGGGGGCGTTGCCGCCGTGGCAGAACTGTTCCACGAGGAGTCACAGCAACAGCACTCGAATGTGGTGGTGACGCCAGCAAGAGTGGCAGCAAAGCCGTCGACGGCGACATTTACACCATACGAGAGCCCGTTGCAGTACTTCGAGTCATACCGCTTCCACCCGCAGTACAAAACACAGGTCCCCGGCGGCTTCAGGTCGTTAACGTACAGTGGTAAGATCCAGGACGATATCGCGCTTTGCCCAAATGAATTTTTGGGCGACGACTGCTCGGACCCGTTGTGCAGTTTTCAACACATTGCATCTATTGTGCCCAAAGGTAAGTCTGCCATCACTCTGTCATGGTCCTCTTATGCTTCTTCTTTTGTCCCTCCCTTTCTCACTCTCTCCGCTCCGCTCTCTATTTTCCGCGCTTTTCGGCATGACTATTAGACGATCAAATTCTTGTTGAACTCGGTCGGTCCGACGACTACACGGGTGACCAAAAAGCGCGGTTTGTGGACGGTCTCAAAAATTTGCTGAAGAAATTTCGCGACGACCATGAGCGCGATTTTGACAAAATTGCGGAGGGTATTATCGACTTTCGGCGCAGGTTCCTCGGCGACGACAGTCGCGTTCTCGCACACCTCGAGGGCATTACTGTCTAAGCGAGGAGACGCAACGATTTCGTTGTCTTGCTCTGATCACCTCTTCCCTCCCTCCCCCTGTCTACAGCTATCTTGCTATTTTCTATGCTACGGCATTTGGCTACGTGAGTAACGCACAGCGAATTGGATCAGATCTTCTCCTGTTGAAACAAACATCTTTGAAGGGGATGGCAACACGAGGCAGTGAAGACGCTGTGTGATATGAAAGAGGTGGATGGCTCAAAGGTGCAAAAGGGGGAGAAAAAAGACGATGAGAAAACGCGTCACGTCACACTGTTGCGACGCCCTTACCCCTCCCCTTGGGGCCCTACATGCATTTTTTTTCTCGGCTTTCTATTTCTCATGGCATCCTTTGAAGGTCATGACGGATTTGTGCTCCTATTGTGAGTTGCACCTGCCCCACTGCATGTAGGCTCAGCGGCCTCCTCTCAAGACTCAACGACACACGACAGTACGCGCAAAGGAAAAGGCGGACGCGCAGCTGCAAAAGCACCATCTGTCTTCCCCCTGCTGCACATTATTTTTCTTGTTTTATTTGCATGAATCGAAGATACCCCTTGTCTATGATTTTCTTCGCAGAGAGTCGCAGCTTGACGGATGACTGACGCCATCCAACATTTCGTTTTGATTTTTTTATTACTGCCAGCGTCTCTCGCTATCCAGCTGCATTGCAACTTCTTTTTTTCGATTGCGCACTCTTTTCGTTTTACTTTTCTTCGTTTCCACTTGTGCCACCAAGCGCGCATCTTGCTATACAACAGCATTCACAAATGATGTGGTGGGCATCACACCTCAACCGGATTGGGGGAGGAATATAAAAGAAGGAACGGCGACCGTCAGGCGAATATAATATATTGGCGTGGTAATAAGTGCTAGTTCGGGGACAACTGCACAAAAGGAAGAGGTGGAGGTTGGTTCGGTTTATGATCGTAGCTCGTTTATATTTTCACTTCCATTTTACGGAGCGCTGAACAAATAATGATCGTATTTTACTCGTTTCCTCTTATTTGATGCTGTATTTTGTGACCTTTTGTGTAGTCCGTCCATAAAATTGATAAAATAATAAATAATAAATAATAAATAACGTGGTTGATAAGCGAGCGGAACATATAAGTGAGCGGAACACGTCCCAACCAAATGTCCATCTTCTGTCTTTATCAAAACATTTCTCTACAACAAACAATGGTACAAACTTCGAAAGAAAGTCACGTACTCTTAGTCATCCAGGTTATTTAAAATACTGAAAATTTAAGTCTCCGAGTTGTAGTAAAACTTTACGAAGTTTTATTAGTAACCTTAAGTTATAAAATGAACGGTCGAGGCGTTCGATAAAATACTCGTGTTAACTCTTCGAAATTGAAAGAGTCGGAAGAGAATGTTCTTCTCCGGTATATTCTTGACTTGGATACGTGAGGATTCCCGTCTAGGTTGGTGTAAAGGAATAGGTGTCTGAGGCCAAAATGGGGTGACCGTAGGTATGGCTCAGTGAAAGAAAAGAATAAAGAAGATAGGAATTTAAGTATGCTTAAGTTCTCAAGACTTTCGCTTAGGCGACCGTTCTACAATACGTGGCCGCCTACGAAAGGATTCTTATATATTCCTTTTAAGTGGAGAAGTTTGCAGAGTTTTTGCAGAGTTTTCTTAGTTCCGTCGCTCGTCGCTCTAAGACGCGTCGGCGACAATGGAACTTGCCAGAATCTTCCTTTTCGCCTCATGTACGATCGGAACTCTGATTGAGCTTTTGACCTTTTCGGCTACTTGGGTAAGTTTGATAGGCGATTACTTGCCGAATCTCTTTCTCCTTACACTTTAATAAATAAATACGGTACTAAATAAACGTCGAAGAGTTAAAAAGATACGTATACGGTTTAAAGGATCTCTTATAATATAAAATAAGTATAATATACTAAATAAAAAAAACGTACAAGAGTAAATACGACAGGAAACGTAGGCGAGGAGTGGTCGGTAGAGGAGGGTTGAGTCGGACGGACGGCGTTGTGGTAATTGCGGCGAGAGGGGACACAATGCGCGTACTTGTCAGAAGGAAGTAGAAATGTCTAATGTATACAGTTCCGAATAGTTTTAATCGATTTGGTTTATTGTTGTGGTGTAATTGAGCTTTATTGTTGTGAGGACTGTAGAAGTGTTCCGCTCGCTTGTGTGTTCCGCCGTTTATTAACCACGTTAATAAATAATAAATAATAAATAATAAACACACACAAACGTAAAATTGAATAACAAGAAGAATTTAAACAATTCACAGACTTTACACTATATTGTTTTTATCACAAAGTTTTATTACTAGTTGTCTTTGATCTATCCTAAACCTGTTTTACTACATCATACTCCGTATTCTGTATAGGCTTCTTATTTCCACACAGTAATACTCAGTTTAAGGCGCCACCAATATTCCAGCCCTACCCAAACTAGATGGGCAGGCCTCAGTGAAAAAGGCAAAGCCCTCAAGCAGTGTGGTAGAGATTAGCAACGGATTAGTTACTCGCAAAAGAGATAGAAGGCTTGTATAATCATAAAGGGCTATTGATTGCTATTTTGTCGGCCGACGCTTTGTTTTCTCATTCTGTGGTTCCACAACACGTTGTTCAACTTTGCCTCGTCATTTTGTCTTCTCAAAGACCCCGAGCCGTGATACTTCCACTTCACTACCAAGCCACCAGGAAGGCATACCCACACCCTATGGCTTACGGGTTCGCTGGGCCAATTCTGTTGTCCAATCCGGTCAGGTGAAGGGGCCGATATTATGCTTGTTGGTCAGCTTCAGAGGCCGTGGCTGCTTTGCTGCGTTGAGACAAAAAGAACATGAGAGAATGAGACGGCTCACACGTCTCTCATCTATTGGCCCACTTTCCCAGCCACAGCCGACTTCTCAGGTTGAGGAGCTATTGTTAGTTTTGAGCGAATAGCAAGAAAGAAAAGAAACAATTGACGCTGCGTGCATCGTCGACTGTGCAGTTTAGCGCCCTCCCAGTCTTATGCAGCCCTTTTCGAGGCACCCCAGCACACTGTGGGCCCAGCAACGGCTTCATCACCAATGCAGCATCACCGAACACCGCCAGGACCGACGGGCTGAGGGCGAAAACGTGCCCACCATCCCAAAGGCGACAGGGCTGGTCGCCGCAAGGGCAACCGCATGTTCCGGGCAGGCTTGCATGGTCGACCCCAACAAACAACACGAGTCAGCCAACCACCATCTGCACGGCGGCCACTCCAATGCAACCCTCCCGTCACAGCTCGTTGGATGGACGACGAAAGCAAGGAAGAGGCCATTAAAGACAGGAAAAGCAATGAGCAGAAAAGGACCTTGGACCGTTTGGCGAAGCATTTTGACCACGTAATGATGAGGAAACCCCGAACGGGGAGCTGGCAGAAGATTGAGAGCAGAAGCAACGAGCAAATGAATCGATGGGAAGCTTGGACGCGTAGAGACGAGATGGTGTGGAGGGTTGGGGAACAGAACCCAACCCCTGGCTAGTCATTTTGCAGGCAAAAAGAGGCACCAAAAAGGCAGCATAGGCCACCTCAAGGCGCTGCCAATTTCCTTGGGCTGACGATTCTTGTCTCCTCTTTCCGGGGATGGATGAACAGGAAAAACCGAAAGGGAAAGGAACAGTCTTCCCCCCTTTGGAATGGTTACCATTTTGGCGGATCGTTTCCCGTTTGCTCTTCCTTGATGAGCTTGCCCCCTCTTTTGTTGTGAGAATGGTCCAGTATTAAGTGACCTACCTGCTTATTTCCACTCCTTCCCTTGTCGGTTTGCGCTGCTCTTCACGGTCACGCTGATATCTGGTGCTGCCCCCTGCTCCTTCCCGTAGCATCGGTGTTGTCTCCTCACTGACTCGCTCTTTATATTGTGGACGGTTGCCGCTCTTCGCCCTTTCCCTGGCCCTCCTGCGTATTTACAGTTTCTTCACACACCACTTACACATACACTGCAGAGTACATTCCTGTCGATACTCTTCATCCTTTTCCATTCCGCTTAACATCTACCTCACACCTCTCAACTCACCACCACATTCACAATGAAGTCTGCTGTCGTCGCCCTTGCCCTGGCCGGTGCGGCCGTTGCCCAGAACCTCTCTGGCGAGCCTGAGTGTGCTGTATGTTTACTTTCTCTCGAAGCAGAATATATTTCATTTGTAGGTTTTTGATGCACACCACGTCGTACTAACTACTCCCAGTCCTCCTGCCTGATCTCCGCCATCTCCAAAGCCGGCTGCGCCCCCAACGACGTCGCCTGCCAGTGCGGCCCGACCGAGAGTGCCATCGCCTCCCTCGTCGCCCCCTGCCTCATCAACAACTGCCACTCCGCCGCTGAGCTCATCCAGGCCCAGAGCGCCGGCTACGCCCTGTGCGCGGAGTACAGCAAGACAGCCGGCGCTCCGGCCTCAGCCTCTGCCTCGGCCACCACTACGTCCGGCTCTACCTCGGCGACTGGTTCCTCCGGCTCGGCTGCTGCCACCACCTCCACCACTTCCACCAAGTCATCTTCCGGCTCCCTGGCCACTGTCACCACGTCCTCTTCCAAGACGACGTCGCGCGGCATTGGCAGCAACGTCACCGTGACCACGGGCACCAAGACCGTCTCCAACGGCGGTGGTGGCGGCACGGGCCCGTCGACGTCGGCCTCGACCGCTGGTGCGGCGACGTTGGGTGCGGGTGTTTTGGCTGCTTTTGTTGGCCTGATTGCTGCTCTGTAAAATACAAGCAGAAGCAAAGAAAATACGTAAGAAGGGAGGGGGGATGTGGCTGGCTGACGTTTTTGTTTCATGCAACGAGTGCGTTGCTAGCTAATTGGGATCGTCTCCAATATCCGGGGGCAGTGGCAAGCATCGAGTGCAACCCTAGTCTTGTGTATTTTGGTCCATTTTCATCGCTTTTTGTCACGTTTGTTTTCACGAGCCATAATGTCTGCGTTTTAGCCATCCCAGGATTGAAAATGGGGGATTTAATAGTAGTGATGATTATCTTTTGCATCTTAACAATAAAACTAGTTCTTTGTGATTGATTATGAGGAAGCCTATTACTGGAGACGGAATTTCCCTAGCTGCCTGTCCCGTTCCGGGCATGGATGGCACTTCGCCTTTGTTCGTTTTCCAGTTTGCTTGCTCCCTGCTGACAACCAGACCCTGATGTACTACGTTGCACATGCCCAACCGCAGCTGCATGGAGTCGTCACAAATTGCAGCCAAAGAAATCAAGAAGCCCACAACGCGTGCCAGAGAGATCGACACGCGTCCCTAGTTAAAGGGAAAGCAGTTCGAGTCAGTTTCCCGACGTATTGCAATAGGTCCACGTGATATAAGCCGGACTAGGTTTCTCCAGTGGACAACCATAGTAGCTGCCTGTACGACCAGGGACTAATTACGTCAAAATTTGGAATCGAGGATGATGCTAGAAGGACATGCGTTTCATATTCGACATTGATTTCTCCAACCATATCCGTTTCTGTATGAAAATTAATCACCTCCATTGCATATCGCGTTTAACACCAGAAACAAAGAATTGAAACGTCGTCACCAGCAATGGCCAGTACGCAGACTTCCGCCGCCACCGCTGGCGCATCGCCTATCCACTGGCTGTACCGGCTCATGTTGAACACCCTCGAGCCCTTCTTCGCCTTCAATGGCGCACTCCTCGTCTTCCGCGACCCGGACAGCTACCTCTCTACCATGACCCGCCACTCCATCGCCTACCCGGCCGACCAGGGCGACGCCGCCGCCTTTCTCTACACCCAGCTCGGCGGTGGCTGGCTCTACTTTGCCTTTGTCGAAGCCATCGTCCTGCGCCTGTATCCAAACGACACCCGCCTCTGGCGCTGGCTGTGTATGGGCATGCTGCTGAGCGACGCCGCCTACGCCCACGGCTGCGCGCAGGCCCTGGGCGGGTGGGCCGCCTGGGCCGATGTGGCGCAGTGGACAGGCGCCGACTGGATGGTGTTTTGGACGACGGCGCCGCCGCTGCTGGCGCGCCTGTTGTTTGTTCTGGGGCTGGGCGTGGACTTTACCAGCGACGGCGCCACGAAGAAGCAAGACTGAGTGCAACAAGGACAAAGAATGGCTACAGAAAGGAGGCAGAATGTTGAGAATGGAAAGACAGCCTATGCTGGGCGGTATGCGGCTGGTATGTAGTTCGTAGGTTCGTTCAATGTGGCACCGATATGTACGGAATGGCCGGCGCAAATAAGGCGCAGGGTTCAAGTACCTATTTAAAAAATTTGAAATCAAATATACATAAAAATAACAGCAAAAGATATTTAATCGAATAAAAGAGTCGTTGGTGATACAGGATTATGGCAGCCGCTGTAGCTTGGCTCTCGTGGGGAACTGGGGCGCACGTGACGATGATTGGCCAATTCTGAGCACCGCGTCTCGTCAACTGCCACAGCTCCTTCATTCCTGCACAGCTCAGCATCGCGCGCAATCCGAGCCAGAGATCACCCAATACGCCGACAATCCACACAACGATATCTCTCCTCCGACGATGGCTTCTGCTTTCGGCAACAACGAGCCGCCCTCGCTGCCGACGGCCGCTAACGGCGCCACCACTGATGTCTTGCAGACGCGTTTCGAGATTGAGTGCGAGTTTGTTGCCTGTCTCGCCAACCCCTACTATCTGCAGCACCTGGCTGCCGAAAAGTACCTGGACGACCCTCGTTTTGTGCGCTACCTCGCCTACCTGCAGTACTGGCGCACACCACCGTACCTGCAATACCTCAGCTGGCCGGGGCCGTCGCTGCGGCACCTGGAGCTGTTGCAAGAAGAGTCCTTCCGGCAGGCGATTATTAGTCCTGAGGTGGTCATGCGACTGGAGCAAGAGGGTATACAGGCCGGGTTTCGCTGGGCGTGAACAAGACTGGGACATACAGATGGTACACAACAAGGTCGAGGAAAAAACGCACAAAACAGTCTATTGCTACAGCTCTGGGTATTATGGCACGAGACTCACGACCTCCGGCCTCTGGACTCTGGCTTCCAACTACACCTGACCACGTCGCCGAACTCTTAGTTCTCCCGCCACCGGTTTCCACAAGTCATACACTGTTTTGGTTAGCCACCTGTGGTGGGGGGGGGGGGGGGGGAGAGAACAAACAGAGGGAGACGACGGGAAAGCGGGTCACAGGGGCCTGGTTCTCTCACCTTGAAGAAACTCGTCATCGGCTCGTCGGCCGACCGGATCTGCACCTGGAAGAACGCTGCCTCGCCGCCGTCGCAGCCGTCTGCCGGGCACTGCACCTTGGTCTTTTGCGCATTGTCCCACGCGCCCGGGCCGCCGAACACGTCCTCCTTCTCCTTGCGTACAAACTCGCGGCGGCTGAAGAGTGGCGTCGCAATGGCGTACTCGTACGGGCATGTGCGGCACTCGAGCCGGTTGCGGCCCGTCTCTGGGTGTGCCGACACCGTCAAGATGTTGGCGCAGCAGGGGCAGACTGGGGCAGCTTGTTAGTGTCAAGAGCGAGAGACGCGTGGGGATGCGCGGGTATGCCCGGGGAGGCGTGGGGGAGGTGTTGGCGACTACTGGGGCTCCTTCAATTCGGAGCATGTCGCGTACCCTGGAAAGACACGTACAGAGAAGCATTTTGTGTGAATGTGGTTGAAGTTAGGATGCAATGAAAAATGCAATGAAATGAAAGGCCAGTTTTGGCGCCAGCAAACACGGCGCAAGGGGCTTGAAACTGGTCTTGTCGTCGTGATTTGATATGTTTATAAGTTCATGTCCATATTTATGAGATTCGAGAAATGTCATTCGCGAGAGTTTTCGCTCGATATGCCGTCGTTTCCGCCCAAGGCTGTCGTCCTGTCCTTAAAGAAAAAATTCATGAGAGCTATCGCTCTGCGCAATATCCCCGCCACTTGCCGTCGCCCACCGCGCTTCAGCAGCGCTTGTTAGGCTACTTTTAGTGGGGGTCACGTGGAACTCGCCACTGAACCACAACAGCGTTGCATTAAAAGTCACAAAGCTTGAAACGTGCTTCGACATTCAGCATTTCGTGTATTCTCATCTATTTCATGCGTATCACATATGTACGCTATGAAGCTCAAGTTTATCCATCGAGGCATGCGTAGTTCTGGTTCAAGCGATCAGGGCCAATTCGTCTGCAACCGCGCTGTGCATGTTGCGCTATTTTCTTTGTCCAGAAAGCGACACGGACAGTAGGCTGTTGTATGTATGAGGTCGAGATTTGTGTCGTGGACGGCTGTATCGTTTACCGCCTCATCCTCGTAAAGCGGAGCGAGCATTCTGGCACGCTCACAGATTTTTGAGGTTAGTGACGAGCGTATGTGACTCGTGGGGTGACGAAAATCTTGACGACTTTGCAAAGCGGATGCAAAGATTTTGGATTGTTCTCGTCAAAGCCGCAATGCCTCAGACCATCACCACCTCGCGGTCGGCGTGGGATGGGGCTGGCCGCTGACGGCACAACGTCGAGTGACGCGGTTATGCCTCGCACCGTCTGTATGTACCCAGTATCTCGAGGAAGTCAAGTAATCGGGGCTTTGCGCCTGGGCCCTGCGGACCGGACATTAAAACTACCCCGGCTCGATGATTGTGTCGTCATCCGTGGCCTTCATTTTGCCAGAGGGTTCGCGTGGACCGTCACACGTTCAATCCGTGGCGGGTCTGAGGACACGGCTGCCACCGCAGACGATGAATCGCCTTCCTCGCCCTCCTTGTTCATGGCAGGTGGCGGCCCTGACTTGGGCCGATACTTCTTGTCCACGGGCACGGCCTCGATCTTATCCAGCGTCTCAAAAGACGCCTCGCCCAGCAGCCGTCCAAACACCGTGTTGACACCGTCCAGGTGTGGCGTGCGCGCAAAGGTTACAAAAAACTGCGAGCCATTGGTGCCTGCAAGGCCGCTGCCGACCGGCGGCGCGCCCTTGTTGGCCATGGACACGATGCCCCGCGCGTGGTGGCGGAGCGCGGGCAGGCGAATCTCGTCCTCAAAGGGCTGGCCCCAGATGGACGTGCCCTTGTCCTTGTCCTTGTCTTTGGAGCCCTTGTGTTTGGACGACTGGGCCGGCATCCCTGTCTGGGCCATGAAGCCGGCGACGACGCGGTGGAAGGGCGAGCCGTTATAGTAGCCCGACGCACAGAGAGCCAAAAAGTTCTGCATTCCCAGTTAGAACGGCGGCCGCGTAATTAACAATCTGTATAAGAAGGGACAAGCATGGCGGCCTACCTCTGCGGTCTTTGGGACACTTTCGCAAAAGACCTCGATCTTGAGATCGCCCACATTGGTGTGGAGCGTGACCGACATGATTGCACAAAACGTAAGCCAAGACTCGACTTGGATTGTATGAAAGGAAAAAAAATGCGCCTCTTTGCAGCCCAAAAGTGCCGGATTGTACAGATGAGCGAGGAAGGCTGTCGCTGGCCAGTGACTCGAGGGTGCACCTTGGAGAGTGCTGCAATGCCATCAATTAGCATTTGCTGTCCACCAAAAAAAAACAAGCGTGCAACTTCGGCAAGATTAGTCATCGGGTCCATGTACGGGACCATCCGCCCCTGTCCCATCTTTTGGATCCTGCATCGCCTTGTTGTTTACTAACAGGAGTGTAGTTTCACGTCTCCTCGGTATTTCCCGTACTCATATACATCGTACATTTTACATTTTTTATTCATTATGTTCTTCGTCACGAGAAATTGCACCAGACGACCAACCAAAGTACAAAAAAAACCGTCAATTCAAAACAGGCGCTGTCGCTAAACATCATTGGCGCATTCTCGTATAAAAATGTCTGTGTGGCTTTGGAGCTATTTTTTGAAATTGCCCACGCCAATAAACGAAATAATACAACCCAAATGGCTAAACGTAGACTCCTTTAATAATCCCACAATTGCCGCCTGGCGGCTTTTTGCCAGCCATTCTTCGCCCGCTGCCTGAAAGCACTCGTAAAGAAACATGCTGTGAGGTGAAACCCGACCCAACCTTTGACCACGTTCTAGAGCCACGGGCCTTGTTAGTAAAACTCTGCTGTATGCCAAAAAAAACTCTTCCGTGTCAGCTACCCTCGGGCTGCCCCTGAAAGACACCCTTCTCTATATTGGCGTAAATGTCTGGATATTTATTGCGAACACGGTCCCGCAAATCCGTCGGCTGGCGGCTGGCGAGATTAAAACTGGGATGCCGGTGGATCTTGGTCCAGGCCGGTCCATAGATCTGGAGGCCCTCGAGGATCTCCTTGTCGTCTTGTTCAGTGAATGGCCGTCTCTCGCGGCGATGTGACTTCTTGAAGGGCCCTTGGATGCCCAGCTTGATCATGTCTTCCATGTTCCGCCGGTGAACACGCCGTTTCCGCATCTTGGGCTGGTCTGGAGACAAGGCTGAGCCAGGCGAGCCATCTTGGCCCTGGCTGTTGTATGCTTCGAGTTGTTCGTCGGGCTCAGTCAATATGTCTTCTAACGACAGGCTTGTTTTCGATTTGCCTTGGCCAGACGCCGTAGATGGCCCTGGTGTCGACGACAAGGGCGTGGATGCGTCTGGCGGGGAGGCGGCTCCCGACGGATCGTTTCGGCTCAACTTGCCACGTAGCTCTTCGGGGCAGCAAGTGCGGAAGCGGTCTTTCAAGTCACCTGCTGTGCGGCTGCTGAACTCGAACTCTGGGTCCTCCAGAATGGCCGTCCACTTGCCAAGTCCATGCCTGCTCACACCAATAAGCAGCTGATTGGTCTCTTCTTCTGTCCACCGACGACGAGGCTTCGTTGCACGCCGTTTCGGCTTTGCAGAGTTTGTTGAGGATGCTGCTTCTGGAGAGTCGCCGGCTTCGCCTGTCGTCGATCGCGTCGACCGTGGTGCTCGTGCTGGACGGCCGGAAACTGGCGACTTTTTGGTCGCCTTGCCCGTTTTTGGTGACAAGTCGGTGGCAGACGACGCCGAAAAGTGCCGTCCTCCCACCAGCGGGAGCGTAGACGAGGACATGCCCATGGCCTCACCCATTCTATCGTGATCAGAGACCATGTGTAGCCCACCTCCAGAGAGCATGCTGTCGAAAAGATAATGGCCGCCGCTCCCGCCGCCAGTGCTGCTCCCTGTACCTCCACCGCTAGAGTTTCCTCCGTAGTCAGCATTGCGGTTTGTCGACTCGTCGCCATCATACTCGGCGTACGCGATAGGAGGGAACACGGCGGCGTTCGGTGGCGGTTCATGCAGGCCGTTGATGATGGGCGGAAAGACCTGGTTCAAAGAACCGACTTGTTGGCTCGACTTTTGTTTTTTCAGTGGTTGCGGTAGATGTATTAGTTCCTCTGTGTGTGGTACAACGTGTGGCCGCTTGCCCATATGCGAAGACGATGATGACGACGGATCGTCTGCCCCGCCTGGTAGCATGAAGGGGTCGACCAAGCTGGCTGAGCCATCGCCAAGGAACATGCGGAGCGGACGGTTCGCCCACCCGCCGGCGCCTCCGGAACCACCGAGGCTAGGGTCATCACCGCCGCTCGAGGGCGAAAAAGCCGAGTTGAGTGTTGAATGGTTCAAACCGGCTTGCTGGTGATGGTGATGTTGTTTTTGATACTGCTGCTGCTGCTGCTGCTGAGACTGCTTCCCCGCCGACGACTCGGGCGAGTTGAGTTCTAGTGGCGGAAGCATAAGGGCTGCGGCATCTTCGTGGCTATCCGGGACGCCAAGAGTGCTGTGTATCGAGGGTAGATGATCCCTGTCGTCGTTCACGTTGAGGAGGTGCATTAGCCGCGGCTCGATGGTGGCCATGGTGTTGGCAGCCATGGTGCAAGAGGAGGGACATCGGGGTCCCGTTAACTCATGGTGGTCCTTGACGGAGAGAGAAAGGGACAAGGGCAAAGTGAGTGAAAAATGACGTGAATCAAAGTGAAAAAGAAAATGCCAAGCAAAAGTGAGAGAGACGGGGGCTAGAGGGAGAAGAAATAGAGGTGAGCGTGAGAGGAGGCAACTAGGTGGCAGGGAGGGAAAAGGGAAAGGTAAATTAAGAATAAGTGGAAAAAGAGGCAAAATGGTGACAACCCAAAGAGTCTGGAATATTAGACTACTAGGTTGACAGAGGGCGTTGACAGTCCACCGGTGGCCTGACGAAACTCTACGTAGTATTAATGGCCAGTGGCTTCTTTATTGGCCTTCGGTTTGGCTCTGATGCTTCAGTCTCGTCCCACTGCGTGCTGCCGGTTGAGATACGTTCGAGTTCGTCTCTGTGCTTGTCGTCGTGCAGCCGGCTGGCGTGGCGGTTAAGGGTTGACCGTGCCTGTGCAAGTTGACGTCGAAGTTCCGGCCGAGGTCGATTATAATTGCGGCTTTCTTTTGTATTTGCAGTCGTCAATATTGTCGTCGTGGCTGCTGGGTGGCTCTTTCCCATTTGTGGGTTCCTGTGCGTATGCGTACATTCCTCTTTGCACTTCTGGACTTTTTCCTCTTTGGCTCGTTCCCAGCTTCGCTGGTCTTTCCAACCGAGACTCCAATTCCCGGGCAGGACCCGTAAGACACACCGCCAACGCGCGCACGATAAAACAAAAGACGGAAGGAACGAAGGGGGAGGGCAGCAGAAGGTGCAATCAAGGCAATCACGGTGCATCAACTGCTCGCAGTCGGTCTACCGAGACAGGAA